GCGCCAAGAATAGAAAAACACATTTACGCCGTTACAATTCTCGCCAAAAGTTGACGTTACGCCCCTTAGCAACGGCGTGTTTCCAAGGATTGAACGCATAGGCCGTACCACTTTTCAACGATTCAACGACGCGTTTAAATGCAAGCTGCAAGCTCAACTGCAATTGGTTGTATTGATGAACTTTAGACTTCGCTAATGCTTTCCTTTCGTCGAAAGTGAATAACAGTGCGTAATTAGTACACTCGCCCGGGCTGACGGCCGGAACGGCGCTCCGCGCCGTTGTCTCGGGAGCCAGTTTGCATAAAAATATATTGTTTGTTAAGTTAAGAGTAGCCTATATGAATGAAATCGACAACCTAAAACAATTACGGTATAGAATTTTACGACTGAAATGTTTACACTCTTACCCGAACAGGCGAACATAGCTAAGACAAGGATTAAATTATTAAGAACATCAGGTTCACCTTCGACAAAATTCGTGTTTCTACCTTTAAAACTTTGTTTCACGGATGACAGCTACTAATTTATGAAACTGCTTCCTGTTAAAATCGATAAAATTCGCGAAGGTATACAGTAAAACAGCGAAACATTTTTTTAGCGTGAACTTCTACTCGCGCAAGCGCATAACGTCGAAAACCGCCCATCACAAAATGGAGGACAACTTTGCACTTCGCTATATGTTCTCAAATATCCGTGTGTATAAATAGTCTAGCGGAATAAGTACCCTCGTCCCGGGCTTACGCCTGGCGCGGTTGGCTTGAAGATCTAATATAAATTCATTAGAGATTAATGGAGATTAAGAAAATATTTGTCAAATATATTTGATTTATTCAGTTGACAGAGCATTGGACCAGTATCCCAAAGGTCGCGGGTTCTATTCCCACCGTGGTCAGGCTAACTTTTCAGCCTTCCCGGTGTGGATAGACACTCAGAGTAACATAAAAAACATTCGAGAAATTTGTCATGAACGTTTGTTAGCTTCCCGTCCCTGAAGAAATCAAGCTTTATTTTCAGATTAAGAATTACTTGTTGGGTTAAACGAAAAGTACAGTAGGTACTGGGTAAAGTATCAGAATATTCCTTATATCTTATTTTATATCTTAACAAAACTGTATTGAGTTCTTTAGTTTATTTAAGCTGCGAGTGAAAATACACATGCAGTTAATAAAATAAATTATTTGTTTGCATAGTTTTTGGAACGCAGCTATAAGCAAATTAAGTTATGTCTGTTAATAGTAGTGCTCTCCATGCAAAATAAGCGGAATAAGAAATGTGGACACAGGCATACCCATAAATACATCTCAAACATGGGGGTCTAGTGTAAGTATTTCAAAACCATCTTCAAAGAGTGAAATCTAGATTCATTTTTATGTTGGCAATGCAGAGAACAACGAAAAATCGTTGTCTCGGGATTCGTCTCGCAATTTCGGGTTTCCAGAGCACCGCTCTATCCATTCAGCTATCAAGTCAAAGGGGATTGGTGGTAAATCTCATGCAATGAGCTAACCTGAAATTCAGGCCCTAATTTTAAATAGGGCCTGACACAAAACCTGTCTAGACCGTGGGATGCCCACATGTTATTTTTAGACACAGTCATGCAATATGATTGACAAGTGTTGTAGATTTCATTGCACAAAAAATTTATATTCTCATGAACATGTCCGCACAGTGTGCATTTTGCTTTTTAAACTTAAAAATTCAAGGTACTTTTATATAATTAAGAGCTCAGTTTCTCTATTTAACCGAACAGCAAACAAAGATTTAATTAGTCAGTTCTGTGCACGGCTTGAATGCCAAGCTTTCTCAAGCCAAGGTCTCAACTTGCTGGACGCGGATATGCTCTAACGGGCTATTAACAACAGAAACAACGAAATTCTCAATCGTACCTAGCCTGCGAGCAGGCTCTCTGGTTTCACCCAGAGAGCCTGCTCGCAGGCTAAATCGTACCACGAAGAAGGCGATGTAGCTCAGAAACAACGCCGGTAGGACCTGATAAATAAGACTTTTGCCGAAGCCAGTTGGCAGAACAGCAAATACATCTTGGCTGTCAAGTGTCAACAACAAGCTTTCGAATACATGACTAGTTTTGCTGTTCTTTCAGCGCCGTGTGTCCAAACTTCGTCAAAGATTTTGATAAAGCCCTTTCAAAATACTGTTTGTTTGATTTATTTTCTGCCATAAAGCATAAAAGAAAGGAAATTCGAAGAAATTCGATATTGGAATTTGATACATGCGTTTGACCTTAATTGTCGCCTTGACCGAGCTATTTTTAAAACTATTGTTTATGTGAACTTGCAACCAATCAAAATCTTTCATGATGCTGATCAACCAATCAGATTTCCCGTCCACCAGATGGACGGGAATCCCACGGTTTAGATAGGTTTTGTGTCAGGCCCTATTTCAAACTAGGGCCTGAACTTCAGGTTACCAATGACCTAAAGACCTGATTCCACGACGGCGATATTGAGGTTTGGGGATTTCGGCAATCATTCTTACCGTTATTTAATTCTGGATATGTTTTGATCATGGTAATGGTATGACGATTTGGACATTGTTCTGTCCATGATTGTCACGCAATACCTGCGGCTGTCACTGCCTTGTTGCCCTGATAACTGTAGACTTGGTTAAACTCCATCTCTCAAGGGGTTGAAAGTAGGAAGCACGCGAACGGTCAAAAAACGCGCAAACGTATGAGGGAAATGTAGGAATGACGGACTTGGATACCCTGCAAGCGCGCCACATTTTACCGTCGGATTTTTCCTACGGAGGCGTGGCTTGCGAGTTGAGAAGAACAACAAATTGTTGCGCCAATTTTTGCAGGTAACATTCGAAATGCTGCAAATGTCGCACGTCCGTCTCTTCCCACTTTTCTCCGGAGACGGACTTAAACCAAGTCTATGGTAACTGCTGTCGTTTTTAGTACAGACAGTGAGGACAATCTACAATTGAATGACTACTGACTGATTGAATGACTGGCTGACTTAACGAAGCCTGACAGACCAAACGTCCGGCCCAGCGCCTGCCTTACAAAGCGCTGGATATACCGACGACCAACTGACCGACCAACATAGTTCCTTTTCCAAACTATCTTTCTTATATCATAATACAGACACTCAAGAGAGTCTCCAGCATTTCTTATTGGCTTTCTCACAAAAGTGAACAGAGCTTCTAGCCACGGATTCCCTGGCAAGAAATACCTCTCCACACCTTCACAAATGTACTACATTCATTCAATGCATTCGGGTAATGCTGAAATATTTTGGCCATGCATTAAAAAGGTATTCGATCGTATTGTTCCTGCAACTGCCACAATTGGTTATTGCAAAACTGTTGGTCATCCACCGATACCTTGATGTATTTAATATTTATCAAGTTTGAATCCGTAATTTTCACAAAATGGGTTGTCCTGTTTGACTACAGGTTGGCAGTGACCTTGTTTAGCATACACGGGATCATCTTCTGCTTACATACATGAACTAAAAAGATAACGATATTCGTATTAAAAACAGCTTGAGGGCCATCTCAAACGTACATTCTAAAAATACTTGTGTTAAAATTTCCTAGCTCCTAGAAATATAACACTAGTGATTTTGGTCATCGACCGATACCTTGACGTATTTATCAAGTTTGAATCCGTAATTTTCACAAAATGGGTTGTCCAGTTTGATTACAGGTTGGCAGTGACCTTGTTGCCAATACACGGGATCATCTTCTGCTTACATACATGAACTAAAAAGATAACGATATTCTTATTAAAAACAGCTTGAGGGCCATCTCAAACGTACATTCTAAAAATACTTGTGTTAAAATTTCCTGGTTCCTTGAAATATATCACTATTTTGGTTAACTTATTAATATTCCAGGTTATTCTATCTCACTAAATATTTACACATTATATTTGACCGGGATGTACTTATTAAAATAACTTGCAGACCCAATTTTTTATCCACCTACCATAGTCTGGTTAATTTAACAAGGGAGTCCTGCATGATAAAGGGAACAGGCCTATATTAGCAAAATTGTGGACAGAAAATTTTATTTTGACAAGCTAATTACGTCAATTCAAAATGTTGAATTCGACGAAGGGCGTGTGTTCAAAAGTTATTATATAAAAATGTTCTTATGGTACCTAATAAAAAATAGAAATAATGTAACTGTTCCAATTGACAAAACTGACAATATAGATAACTAACAAATATATACATGTAGTTAACTATTTACAATAAAGGATTTATATACACTATAAAAATATATTATTTAGTACCATAAGCAGCAATTGTTCTTTCAAATAGAGAGTGGGACCCAATGTAAGAGCCGAGATGTATGAGGAAGTACCAAACTAATATATGGACACGTTTTGTGATTGGCTTTCTGAAACAAAACCGATCAGTGTCATTATGATTCGTTTTTAGAAAGATAACTTCGATAGCTTAATTTATTGCCTTTTTTGTCATTTTCGGGCAATCGCAAAGCCTGTTCATATGGTGCGAAGAGATCCAGGACTGTTCCTGGCTTCCATTTTAAAAAAAAATCTACAAAGCTTTCTCTGTATACTCAATGTTCAACACTGAGTCAATAAAGGTGGACCGTAATGGAAGAACAGTTCACAATCAATGGAGGTACCCTGGATGTAACGTGCCTTCAGAGAAATTGGTTATTAGTGACTTCTCTTCCTTCTGAAATTTGCCTGTGAGTAATTAGTGAGCACACCAATTTAGCGACCTCAAGTCTCATGATCCCCGTTAATTTTAGAACGATCTAAAATAGTCTAGGACCTGTATATGAGTTTGTATGCATTTCATTTAGTACAGATAATCTCAACTGTTTTAGGGCAAGTTGACCATGACGGTCGACATGGTAACGCTGCCCGAACCCCAATCCGGCGCGAAACGTCCGAAACTGACCACACCCAAAAACGACGCTCTCGCCATAGTCAATGTTTCAAAGATACCCTAGAAATAATTATAGGTCCTATAACTGATATCATAAATTGTTCTTTGATGACGTCTACGTATCCGCTGAGTTGGAAATTGGCGGAGGTTATACCTTTACACAAAGACGGTGATCCAGATATTGCCCCGAACAATCGACCTGTATCATTACTTTCGAGTTTGTCAAAAATGTGCGATAAAGTAGCATTAAATCAGTTTACAGATTATTTGATGGAACATAAATTACTAACGAAACATCAAAGCGGCAATCGTAAGTTGCACTCTACCGAAACACTCAACATCGCTGTAACAGATATTTTATTGGAGGCAATAGATAAGAAGCAACTATCGATTATTATATTTTTGGACCTATCCAAAGCTTTTGATAGTGTTCAATATGATATCTTGTTAAAAAAAATAATGGACTTAGGAGTAACATCAGAAGTCCTCAATTGGTTCAAAAGCTACTTGTCTAATAGATCACAATATGTTCGTATTGGTACTGCAACATCGACGTGTGCTGCCTTAGAGCATGGAATTCCTCAAGGCTCAATGCTTTCGCCATTTCTTTTTAATATTTATACTGACAGCCTGCCATCAACCACTAAATCATGTAATCTAGAATCATTTGTGGACGACTCGAAAACTTTTCTAACTTTCCCGTATCAATCATAAACTATCCCCTTGAAGCTATAGAAGAAGACCTACAAAGAATATTTCAATGGTGTTGTAACCATAGTCTTCTGATAAATCCGGAAAAAACCCAAAATGCTGATAGTTGGATCACGACAAATGATGCAACAGATACAGACTCCACCTAACATTAACTTCATAAGCAAAAATCTTATACCGGTAACGGAAGCGAAAGATCTTGGTATGTTTCTCGATTCTCTCTTATCTTACAATAAACATATCCAGGCCTTATCGTCTTCTTGTATTTCTAAATTAGGCAAATCAATAGAGTGAAACATTTATTTGACAAGAAGACCCTTGCTATGATTATAGATACATTGGTAATGAGTAAAATCAATTACTGTTCATCCGTATGGTCTAATACATCAGAAGGTAATATTGACAAGATTCAGTTAATACAAAATTATGCTGCCAGAATAATATCGGGTGTGCAGAAGATTGATCATATATCTCCAACAATAAGTGAACTTGGATGGCTACCAATTAAAGAACACTTGTTATACAGAGATACACTATTAATGTTTAAATGTATAAATGGCCAAGCTCCTTCATATCTGTGTGATAAATTCAAACAAAGAGACCAAGTTCACGATCGTAATACAAGAAGTAATGAAGATTTAGATATCCCAAAGTTTCGGACTTGTACTGGACAAAGAACTTTTAAGTATAGAGGTACAAAATTATGGAACGAACTTGATAAGGAGACAAAATTAATAACTAATTTAAAGAGTTTTAAAGTAAAACTTAAGACTGATCTAATGAAGAAACATAGATAGTCAACTTTTTCATGTTTTAATTAAACCACATAAAGATAAGTCTGTTTTCAAAATTTTTTAAAATGTTTTGTAAATATAATGATATTATATTATAAATTAGATAGATTTTAGATTAAATAAATTCTTAAATAGTGTGTAGAAATTTTCTTACATTTATACATGTAAATTGTCATTGAAAAACCCATTTGGGAATGTCAATTAAGTATAATAATAATAATAATAATAATAATAATAATAATAATAATAATAATAATAATAATAATAATAATAATAATAAAAAATAATAATGATAATAATAATAATAATAATCTACCAAACCATAAAAGCTTTGGCTATTCTGAGGTGCTTATATGGTTCAGAGATGGTGCTTTTAGGGGTGCATGGTCATTGGTAAGTGTGAAATGCCTAGCACTAATATTTCACAAGAAAATGACCATGCAATACTCATAGCAAACGTCAATTTGTGACTTACAAATTCAGATAAACAGCAGTGGACCTACATTACCTTTTTTCCTAAATCTTTTTTATAGAAATGTAATTGGTACTTATTTAAGTATATTATCACTGCTTTGCTGTAAAATAGTTAATACTTTGTGACCGAAATAATAATTTGAAATGTACCTACCTCCTGCAAATGGACGTATTTGGCCAAATTCTCCACTTTACTCCGCTGTTTATCGCCAATCTCGTTGAAATCCTTCCAAATATCTACAGCAGCTCAGAATGGTATCAAGCACATTTTAAACAAGTTTTAAATAGGTTTCAAGCAGATCCTAGCTGTTTAACGATCGACAAGGTAAAACCACAACTTTGTCCAATTCGGCGCCATTTTGTCATCCCATGTCGGTTCTAACCACTTCGCCCTTGTTATTCTTCCATCCAAGCCATTTTCATTCCAATAATAATAAACTGAACCCTTTGTTAAGGGTATCAAAATAAATATGTAAACAAAATAGAAAAAATGCAGCATTTTATCACCCTGTAAAATCTTGCTTACGAGTCTTTCAAAACATCCCGTACAAATCTCGCGTGGCCAAGCAACAGGGGGGAGGGGGGAGACTTTGAAGATTAAAGCAAAGCAAAAGCACGCAGTAATAGCAGTGTTGTAAGACCAACAATCAACTATTAATTTATAGTATGACATATTCCTATGGTCGCTACAAGAAATAAAACAAACGTTTGTAAGATTGTATTTAGTTTTTAGTCCATTTCACGCAGCCTTCTTCTATCTTCGAGAAAAAAAATCACCACCCCCTCTGTCACGGCCTTGTTGCTTTGCCACGCGAGATTTGTACGGAATGTCTTGAAAGACTCGTAAGCAAGATTTTACAGGGTGATAAAATGCTGCATTTTTTCTATTTTGTTTACATATTTATTTTGATACCCTTAACAAAGGGTTCAGTTTATTATTATTGGAATGAAAATGGCTTGGATGGAAGAATAACAAGGGCGAAATGTTTACAACCGACATGGGATGACAAAATGGCGCCGAATTGGACAAAGTTGTGGTTCTACCTTGTCGATGGTTAAACAGCTATGATCTGCTTGAAACCTATTTAAAACTTGTTTAAAATGTGCTTGATACCATTCTGTCTGAGCTTCCGTTGATATTTGGAAGGATTTCAACGATATTGGCGATAAACAGCGGAGTAAAGTGGAGAATTTGGCCAAATACGTCCATTTGCAGGAGGTAGGTACAATTCAGATTATTATTTCGGTCACAAAGTATTAACTATTTTACAGCAAAGCAGTAATAATATACTTAAATAAGTACCAATTATGTTTCTATAAAAACGATTTAGGAAAAAAGGTAATGTAGGTCCACCGCTGTTTATCTGAATTTGTAAGTCACAAATTGACGTTTGACTATGAGTATTGCATGGTCATTTTCTTGTGAAATATCAGTGCTAGGCATTTCACACTTACCAATGACCACCCCTAAAAGCACCATCTCTGAACCATATAAGCACCTCAGAATAGCCAAGGCTTGTATGGTTTGGTAGATAGCACTATGGTGAGCGCGTCGTTTTTGGGTGTGGTCAGTTTCGGACGTTTCGCCCCGGATTGGGGTTCGGGCAGCGTTACCATATCGACCGTCATGGTCAACTTGCCCTAAAACAGTTGAGATTATCTGTCCTAAATAAAATACATACAAACTCATATACAGGTCCTAGACTATAACTAGAAGTGGTGTGGGAAGCTATATCTTTCAAATAAGTTTGAAATTCGAAAATGATATAAATCAGTAACCAGATAAAAAGAACCCAATAAATAAACACTAGTTGTCAAGTATCAGCTAGATCATTATTAACATCACCAAATTGCAAGTATACCGTTCGTATATTAGAGAAAATCCTCATAAAATAACCATATATTCATGACAATCAAATAACAATTGCAATATATTTAAAAAGTGTAAATTAGTAGTCACGCGGATTTGCGTCCATGTGCTTCAACTATAAATCTTTACATCAACCACTGAACTAAAAAACCTGGAGCGCTGTCTCCAAAGTTCTAATTACGTTGAAATAATAGTAGCTCATTGAGGGATTTAGGTAAATTACGCGACAACGTTCCTTAGTTTGCCGTATAGCACTACAGTTAATCTTAAAATTAATATTGTAACAAGAAGGCAAGTTTCCATGATGACATGGACCAAGGTTCTATACTTCGATAGTCTGATAGATCAAACATTTTCAATCGTCGACTCATTCCCACTTTCGTTGGGCAATATAACTGCTGCGGGCCTTTCCATTGT